GCTCCCTGCGGGGCAGCGGGATGGAGACGGGGATGGGGACAACCGGGATAGGGACAGAAATGAGGACACAGACCGGGACAGCCAGGGGTGAGGAACAGGGACTGAGACAGTAGCACCTGGTTGGGGTGCCCTGAACCACCTCTGGTGGTGCAGGCTCTGCCCCAGCTGGCTCCTAGCCCAGGCAGCCCTGTTCTGTAGCAGTTTTTTTAAGCTGCTGCTGAAAATGGGGTGTTTGGCTGTGACCCCAGCCTTCCCAGCAGGGAGAGGGAACCGAAACCGAAATCCCAGAACCAAGAAGGAAGTGTTGAAACATGCTCGAATTTTGCACAGCCCTGCAGAGCATCCACAAAACTCCCTGCACATCTCTCCTGGCACCCACACTTTGGCTAATGAACCGACCAGGTCCCCGGCCCAGGCATCTCGTGCCATCCCTGCCAGGTGCCCCCATTCTCCCTCACCTTTCCCGTGGCCCCGTGGGCAACATACTGGGCTCCCTCCCGCTGGGCAATCTCCACCAGCTTGCGGGCGATGCAGGGCCGTGCCAGCGCCGTGCCCAGCAGGTACCGATCCTCATACAGCGCGTTGGCCTGCACTGCTGGCCAGATGAACTCCTCCACGAACTCCCTGCTGATGTCCTCGATGTAAACCTGCCGGGACAGAAGGATCCTTCTGATGGGAGAGCAGCCAGTAGGGGGAAAACACAGCTCTGAGGCTTTGAGGGTCTCTTTGCTTCTGCTTTCCTAGATGCTACTAAAAGGCTTTGGTGCAAAAGGTCTGGAAAAAGGATTCCTTGCTGGCACTGTTCCCCTTCCTGCAGTGGCCTCAGCCACAGGGTGTGCAAAGCCCCAGGGTCAGCCTCATGGTGGGGAGCAAGAGGAGCTCAGAGTCCCTGGAGGGAGGGACACTGTTACCTTCTTAGCCCCCAGCGCCAGTGCTTTCTTTCGTGCTGCCTCAAAATCTTCCTTCTGCCCGATGTTGGCCTGGAAAGGGAGAAAACACCAAGGCTGAGTGTGAAAGGAGACCACAAAACCCCTTGCAAGCCCAGTCTGGCACAGGGCATCGTGCAAGACATGACAGAGCGCATGCTGGCTCGGCTTGAGCCCACCCAGGATGTGCAGGAGGGGAAATCCCTCCCACTGAGATGGCAAACCTCGGGACCATGACTCTCTCTGCCAAGCCCTGATGTGCTGCCCTCATTAGCAGAGGGTCATTATGTGAGAGGGACAGGCTGTGCCACGTAGGGCTGGCAGCTCAGCCCAGCAGCACCCAGTCTGGGTGATGGTTAACCAGTGAGAGCAGGATCACTGCCACAGCCATACACACATCAGGATCCCATCACTCACACAGGTCCCCAGACCTGCAGCTCAGTACCCCATCCACCCCCAGCCCCTGGGAACAGGGTCCATGCAGCTGGGCTTGGCACAGAGCTCACCAGGTAGGCGATGACATTGTAGCCCTGCTCCTTCAGCCACACCAGGATGCAGGAGGTATCAAGGCCACCACTGTAGGCAAGGACCACCGTGCCCTTGGACTGAGCCATAGTGCTGGAAAAGTGAAAGGAAAGATATTAATGATGCCATCAGCCCCTGCCCTCGCTGCAGCTACGTGTCATGGCATCAGGAGGGATCAGTTGGACTGAGAGCCCTCCCAGGGTTGGAGGGAGCAGGAGAAAGGTTGAAGCAGGAGGAAAAGCCATGGTACCACAGCCACATCCAGGCTGTGACACTCAGCCAGCCAGGACACCCTGCCTGTATGTCAGCTGGGTGATAGGACAGGGCAGTCATCAGGGCTGCTTTACTCTTACCTTTTCTCCACGCTGTCAACCCCGGTGCAGCCTGCCCCACGCTCTGCAAGCTCCCTGCAGCACCAGGGGGCCGGAACTCAGGCACAGCCGTGGCAAAGGCACAGCCCAGTGCCTTGCTCAGGCACGACCTGGCACATCTTGGCCGTCTGCAGACAGCCACCAAGTGGCGCT